ACTAGGGTTTATCAAGTGCGAAATTATCCTTTTTTTCCTTTCTGAAAATTGCCAGCTGAAAAGCAGAAGCAATATCTATACTTTCGTTGAGCTGCATTTGTTTTTGTATATTTTACCTTAGATAAAGAGCTTGTGAACGTGCATCGTGCTTCATCCTACTCTAGTGGGAGGCAAGTCGAAGTCTGTAGCCTTCCAGATGTTGCAGGTATGGCTGTTAATGCTCTTGAGTCTCGTGAGCGTGGTTGGTGCCGTGACACTCCTGTTGTGGGTCGAGGACAAGCTAAACGACATCAACACCTGCAATACTCTCTATGTGGAGAAGACCAACAATTTCAGTACCGACAACACCCTCGCGGAGGATAAGATCTACAGCTTCGACTCCCGAAACACTCTCGTTAAGGCGGCCATGTGGAGTCTTAAGGCTCTTACGCAAGAAAGTAGGTGGTTACGGGATTCTTTAATTTTCTCGGATCACATATAATGATATGGACAAAAATCATAATATACAGTTTTCGGTAAATACAGCATTATACTCTGTGCTAATTCTCTCTATCTTCTAAGATATTTAGCATCAAAACTGGAATTAAGTCTTTTTTTCCAATAAATTCCATGAATTATTAACAACATACCATCCACATCTATGCGCCGCGTTCAGTGGTTGACCGCGATAGCCACTAAGCCCAACCAGTGTGGTTCTGCGGAGCCCCAGCCATGTCTTGGGTATCACAGACTCGTGTCAAATGTTGTTACCTTGTAAATGCGCCACACCAACAATACTCCTTCTATCAATCCCACAGGCTCAGTATGGCTGCCCAAGAGTCGCCTGATAGTGATCACTTGGCTCCTGGTATCCTATGTATTCGCTTCCTCCTACAGCGGGATCCTGACGGCCATGCTAACGGTACCTCAGGTTTCTATCCCCATAGACTCTCTGGCTGACCTGGTGGCCCAGTCTCACCTGCCTTGGCGCCTTGAAACTGGCTCTATGATGTTTCAGTACTTCAAGGTAACTTTCCAGTCATGTGACAAGCCAAACAATAATGTACTGCTTAAGGTTAGTATATTTCTGAATCATTAATATTCACGGAATAAAATTAACAATTTACCTTATATATTCATAGTAACATTCACGTGAATGAACGTGGTATGGAAATGTAAAAAATTGTCGATTTGTAGCTTTAGGTGATTTATTAGACTGAAAGCAAATCACATATACATAAGAATGGAGGAACACTGTAGCAGTCCTACTGGCCCATACTTTAATGCTCAGTACGGGAATTAAAGAAAGTTCTATGTGTATATATGTTGTGATACATACCCTTATTTCAGTACACACTACTATTCTCAGTGAATATGCTTCAAGAGAGATATTACTCCTTGGCATATGTACATGAGTTTGTAAGTGACTATAAATGTTTCAGGTTTCGTTACTTACATCTGTCAAAAGACTTACATCAAGAGGGAGAAACATAGTGTATTCTGTGGAAGAGAAGGCTTGTAAGATAGTTATAACGGAGAATTGAATTGATGAGTTTACCTTTGAACTATAAGTATCACTCACCGGAGAAGTATTGACTTTTCGTCATGTAGAATTCAAATGAATGAGTTACAGCTCATTTGAAAACTTGTGCCTTGGGGGATACTACCCTATCCTGCAAGGAAGTGAAGTGGAAAGAATAGAATTAAAATATTGATAACTGGAATAAACATGATATTTAAAAGACATTAATGACGAGATTTTGAATCAGAATTCTCTTAACTCTCCTTGATTTTCGAATGATGTGTTAGGTAGCATATTTGTTTCGCGATCAGCCGGTCAAGTCTCATTTTTTTTTTTTTAAGCTGAGTGACCTACTCGGCTTTAGAGCTTCATTATCCATAATCTCTTTTGCACAAAGGAGTCTAACGACGAGGTGTTGTTGAAGGTGTTCAGGGGAGTGTCGGGCACCTTTCCTGACTGCTGGGCTGCGAGGGAAGACGTCGCTAATGGAAAGTTCGCTGCCATCTGCGACAAAACAACTATGAAGAAAGCAATGTCATGGGATTTCAGGTACAGTTCTATCATAAGTAACATTTTAAACTACGGGATGTGTTTGTAAAACTCACTGATGTCTGAATTCCCCCCCCCCCAAAAAAAGGCAAAGTTTTTAACGTTTTTTACTGTTTTGTTATATTGCATTACTGAACAATTGAAATCACAGTCGTCAGAGGACGCTAAATAATAACAAAAAGTATTAGAGGCATAGATGCATTTCTGAATTGCTGAGCTCGATGTGATCACAAAGTATTCCCTCTGATAACACCTGTAATCTTGCAGCACGAGCGGAAAGTGTCACTTGTACATCTCCAAAGAGAAAGTCTACAGCAATGCTCTAATCGCCATGGCATTCAAGATCAACTCCACCTACCTTGCTCCTGCAAACCACATGTGAGAATCACAATGATGTTTCAAAAGCTCTGGCCTGTACTCGACTGTAAATAGTGCTCGATATTTAGTAAGAATTTACTTAGATTTCCCCTTATTGTTCATTTCCGTTAACTTTCCAACAGTGATATCTTGACGATAGTGAATTATTCTTTGTCTAAAGAATTGAAGGTTCCCTCCTCCTTTTCGTAGCAAACCTGATTACCTCCCATTCTTCAGACGCTCTATGCCCCTCGCTAGTTAATCGCTTCACTATGAATATATAAATAATAATCTTTATCCTTGAGCTTATCATAGCAGTCATCAATTGCAACTAGATAATTAATAGATGTATGGCTTGCTGTTGCAGTGTTTGTATAACTTGTTGTCTAAGAGATATTTCATAATTGCTTCTTTAAGCATCTCCTTGATGAAGGAGTCTGGCATCCTGTATAAGTGGCTGGGAGACCAGATCACAAACACCAGCCAGTGTCTTCGTCCACCGACCTCAGATCGCGGGGAGGGCATCGCTCCTCTCAACATCGAAGTCGTCGAAGGTCCCTTCCTCTTGCTAGCAGGAGGTCTGCATTGATTTGGAATCATTGTTTTCTAACTTTTCTTTAGATAGTTTGCCGAATAAAAAATCTTATTAACAGTTACTGCTATTGCTACTAATAATAACAAAAAATAATAACAGTGAAAGTTTTTGTAGAGACACGTTGCATAACAAACATTTAATGGAACACCTTTCGCTGCGTTAAAATCTTCATCATTGTATAATCTGATAAGTTTGTAATAAAGTTGTAACAGAGCGAAATGTTGCTCTAATTAAAGCTTATTCACAAGGCGTGTCTTTTCTTCAATACTGTCGGCAGAACGACTTGTGGCTCCACAAACGAGAGTAATATATTCAGAGTGCTTTCTCTTCCTACAGGACTGACTGTGAGTCTTATAGCCTTCCTTAGTGAGCTCACTGTGTGGTATTCGTGTGGTGGTAACCACAAGAGTCCAAGGAATGCTTAGGTTAGTCTCTCGCTCTTACCCCCAATCTCTCTGTCTGTCTGTCTGTCTGTCTCTCTCTCTCTCTCTCTCTCTCTCTCTCTCTTATATATATATATATATATATATTATATATATATATATATATATATATATATATATATATATATATATATATATATATATATCTCACTCATGAATATATGCTTTAACGTAAGTAATTGTACCGAAATTATTCCAGAATTGCTCCGAACATTTGTGTTCCTTTAATAATTGAAAATAATTCCCAGTCCGCTACAACACTTTAAATAAGAAATGAGTAATTATTTCACTTCATCTAACTTATATTCCATTTATTTTGCAGAATATTTTAACAGCAAAATCGTCGAACGAAACATCGCTTCCTACCGTGCTTGTCAAAGAGTCTTGCAAGAACAATAACCCTCGAAGGAGAATATACCAGCTCGTCCTCCTTGGCGGGTTCGATCCTTATCTTAATCGAGCTTGATTTCTTCCCACTCATCCAAGGCACTGTATGATCCCTACGGGCTTAGCTCTTTCCCCTCCCATCATGAATGTGGTGAAAAAACGTGTGCGAACTGGGCACACACGACTTACACACTAATTCGAATTGGGCACAAACGACTCATGCACGGATATCACGTGGAAAGAAGCCAAGCATTTCCACGAGGACTGCCAGGTGGCTTTAACTGTTATTCATGTATTAATTGCATTAATGCAAAACAAAAAACTGATAATATTTACAGATTTTGGTTTGGTTTAATAATTTAACGATAAATGTAACATTCATTTAATATGTACTTATTTATTTATTTACATGAATAGCTAAACCCGTATGGATTATTCAACTCAATAAGTGTTGTAGGCTCGGTCCACCGTCCAATAATTGTGTGACAAGCATGATATCAGCCATGTTATACTCAACCAGAACATAAACACTATTTAAATAAATGTAGACTCTGATATAACTTTACTTATCCTTGCTGCCATTACTTCTACTTTTAATATAACGTTAATATATGAACACTTATCTACCTATGAGTTATCATGTTAGGTTTCAATCTTGTCGACTACAAATGTGTCATTAAGCCTGTAATTCATCTGTAAATTAGCAATAAAAAATGCATTAATCCCTGAAGTAGCGATTTCAGGGACTAGAATGAAATTAGCCTAGAGTCACCCACACCAACGTATGTCCTTGGGTAGAGAGTACAACGTCCAGTTCCGCTGGATGCACTACTCTTAAGGATTGTTTGGTCCTGTGGGTAAAGGCGTCATGAGTTTTCGCCCACCATGAGGCAGGCCAAAGCGGCATGGGTTCGAGTCCTTGGCTAGTCGCAGTGTTGTTTTATATGTATATATATATATATATTATATATATATATATATATATATATATATATATATATATATATATATATATATATATAAATCCAGAAGACCCGCAAATGTGAAGACCTTCCCCCTTGCTATAATTTCATCCCAATAGGGTCGGAGACCCTTGGAACATGGGGCAAATGTGCTCTAAAGTTCCTCAAAGAGCTGGGTGACAAACTCATCATAGAAACCAAGGATCACATGGCGTCCAGCTTCCTCTTTCAGAGGCTCAATGTCGCGATCCAGAGAGGAAATACCTCCAGCATTCTGGGCACGCGACCCACTGCCGAGGAGCTGGCCGAAGTTTTCTAGATGTAGCTCTGAGTTGTTATCTATGTTGTTTTACTCCATATTGTATTTTTGTCAATGTATTTTATTTTTAAATAAAGCATATGTATAATATATAGGGGATGGTAGGAGAAAATTTTCAAACACCTTCAGGGAGAACCTTGAGTTTTCCCTGAAGCAAGTTTATTCTTTTCTCTGAGGATGAGGGTCCCCAGGACAGTTCTAGAGGTGGTACCTCCCTATATATATATATATATATATATATATATATATATATATATATATATATATATATATATATATATATATATATATATATATATATATATATATATATATATATAATATAAATATATATATATGTATATATATATGTCGTGCCGAATAGGCAAAACTTGCGATTTTGGCTCATCTTGCCATATTGGACAAGTAAAAATTTGTGTATGCAATAATTTCGTCAAAATCATTCTGAACCTAACGAAAAAAATATATTTGATTGTTTGTTTAGTACTAAATTATTGTAAACGTATTCTAAAATATATTTAGTTGAGTTAGGCTAAAATAAATTACACTTGTTATAATAAGGTTAGGTAAGTTTTCTAAGAATCTTTTGGTCCAAAATTATAAATTTTTACATTAACATTGATGAAAAAAATATATCTTTAAACGTATAAGAGAAAATTTAAGAAAGGACTTAATTTTAAATGAGTTCTTGCTAATTGACCAGTTTTACATATTCGGCACGACATATATATATATATATATATATATATATTATATATATATATATATATATATATATATATATATATATATATATATATATATATATATATATATATATATATATATATAATAACAACACTGCGCTACCCAAGGATTCGAACCCATGTTGTACTGGCCTGCCTCATGGTAAGCGAGAACCACATGACGCTTTAAACCACATGCTTAGAAGCTCCCACACCTCCGTATGCCCACGGATGGCGGCCCAGCAGCTAGCTGTGTGCTGGCTGCGACATTCTTGTAGGGTTGGGTGGTCCTGTGGTTTAAAGCTTCATGTGGTTCTCGCTTACCATGAGGCAGGCCAGTACAACATGGGTTCGAATCCTTAGCTAGCGCAGTGTTGTTATTGATCAATACCACTCGTTCGTGGTTACAAATATATATATATATATATATATATATATATATATATATATATATATATATCAGCGTTAAAAGTTTTGAGCCGATTGGATGAGGCATCTTCATGATATAAACGAACTAAATTGTTATCTGTTTTACAATAGTTTTTGTACCACTGAATAAATCATTGCTTAGTTAATCTTAAGTTAATTTTAAGCCTGCCCATAATGCTCTGCATACAAGGGGCTCTGGCATGCTGCACTTTAAAAATTTTATTCCTTGTACTTCTCTGTATCATGTTCAAATTAATAAATAAATAAATAAAATAAATAAATAAATAAAAATTAAACTTTGCAGGAAAAAATCTAACAACCACAAACAGGTGTCCGTTGAGGGATACCAAACTACGCAAGAAACATCATTGAAAGGCTGAGGAAAAACTGTACATGGAAGTATAAGCTTTTATTGGGACAAAGTTGCACTCTGTGTAGAGCTTTAGCATGTCAGGACTTCGTAAAGCCCTACACAGAGCAACACATTGTCGAAGGTAAAGCCTGCTTTGCAACTTTTGTCTTTTCTTCGCTATTGTTGGCAGTGCGCCATTTGCATCCAGTGATGAAGGGATATTGCAAAATATATTTTCCACAAAGACTGTTTGATGGGAGGAACATCAGAGTAAAACCACATTTTAAAACAATAATTGTTAAACAAACGTATACTACAAATTAAGACAGCGAAATACGACAAAACAATATTCCTTTCCCAGTTTTTTATTAATTATAAGTTAACCTAGCTTCTAAAGTCATGAACTTATCCTCAGATTACATCTCCTTTATTACGTCACAAGCTGGAGTCATGGAGACTCTTCTATAATGAATATACTGAATATAATTTAATCATTGATTGATATCAGAAATTGGAATGTCTTGTGTCAAACGAGAGAGGAGGAGGAATGGGAGGAAGGAGAAGCGGAACAGCAGCAGTGACAGCAGGAGGAGGTAGAGGTGGAGGTGGAGGTGGAGGAGGAGCTGGAGGAGCAGGAGGAGGAGAATACTAAGATTAAATTGTCAGTCGGATTCCTGCAGCGGTCTGCTAAAGGATTCGTCTCGTTGAGATTTAAGTAGAGGGTGAAACTACTGTTTGATTCTCGTCTAAGTTTCTGCAAGTATCTTAGTCTTTTTTATGCGAATAATCTTAGCGTTAAATTATTTATCAGGAGTTAAGTAGCATATAATTGTGTTAAAATCTATCATTCTCTTTCTCATTCTTTATGCTGCTAATCTAATACTAAACTTAGCTAGTAATCCGATTAAAATAACAAGAAAAAATAGCTTACTATTGACAACAGTGAAGAGGCAGTCGATGCCGGATAAGCCTTTACTGGGACAAACTATAGCTCTGAGGAGAACTTTATCAAATCTCTACACAAAGGCTTGTTCTGCAACGTTTATCTTTTCTTCATTGAAGAAATCCTTCGTCCGTGTGTAAAAGAGATGTACATATTGAGTAAAATTAAACAAATTTAAGCGTGACAAGTAGTTGTGGATGATATCAGCTGCTGGGTATGGAGTGATTTGTTGGAACAATTTAGTTATTGCCAGTAATCCTGGTGTTCCTGTCAGAATCGAAGCATGCATGAATTCCCAAAATACACATGGGTATTTTATTCAGAAACCTCTTGCTCTCTGTCAAGATACTTAATCTGGGTGCGAAAAGACATTCTAACATGATCGCAATATGAGGTACACGTCCTGGTCATCAAAACCTTAAGTACACATCCAGGTCTTCACAGCTATAGTACACATCCAGATCATTACAACCCAAATTACAAATTCAGGTCTTCAGAGTTCATAGTATACCTTCAGATCATTACAACCAGAGGTGCACAAGTCATCACAACCCAAAATACACATCCAGGTCTTCACAGCTCATAGTACACATCCAAGTCAATACAACCCGAGGTACACATCCAGGTCATCCAGACATTTTGCTTCTTCAACAGATTAGATATATTTTGCTAAGAGTTCGCTACTCCAGGGAGACCAAAGGCAAGGAAGAAGACGGAAAAGATAGACAGGCCAAGAGGAATAAATCATACGTAACGAGGAGAGAGAGAATGACGTCCGAAAAGGCGTTCCTGAAGATAGCAGCCGGGGAGGTAATGTTTACTGTGATTATATTGATTGCATTAATGTAGCTGAGCCGCATGATATCAACTTGCAGCCTAATGTAACTGTTATACTATTTGTGATGTGCTATCTCTTATCTTTCCTACAATGATATTTTGAGTTGTTTTATTACTGGATATAAAATGTTTGGGACTTTCTAGAAAGTGCTTTCAAGAATAATTTGTGTTATAGATGAAACACAAAGCATTGCAATCGGAAATTGTGTAACAAGTGGCTACACTGTCCTTGTTTCTTACACACACACACACACACACACACACACACACACACACACACACACACACACACACACACACACACCTCGGGCCGAGTAAAACTAGTCTACAATGCTACATAAGATAGAATTAGTATACATGTTTGTGTTCATCTTTGCAAGTGGCAAACGACACCTCTGCTTAAAAGTGCGAGAATATGTGTTCATCATCCTGGTGCATGCATGTAATTAGCGTATAAATTTTTGTTTTATAATTAAAAATATTCGTTTAACCACCTTGATTTTTTATAATCTTTGTCTGTCTGTCTGTCTGTCTCTTCTCTTCTCTCTCTCTCTCTCTCTCTCTCTCTCTCTCTCTCTCTCTCTCTCTCTCTCTCTCTCTCTCAGTGGGTACCTTGGACCAAGATAGACGTTCAGGAGGACGGGAGAGTCAGGATCAAGGGACCCATGTCTGAACTTCTGGATATCTTCGCTGACAAGATGAACTTCGAGTAAGGACACACTTACAGTCTGTATGTAAACACTCACGGTCTGTATGTATACACTCTATGTACACACTTACCGTCCCTTATATAGATACAGGCCTCATGTACACGTTCACGGTCTGTACACGCTCATGGTCTGCATGTACACGCTCATGGTCCGCATGTACACACTGATGGTCTGCATGTACACGCTCATGGTCTGCATGTACACGCTCATGGTCCGCATGTACACACTGATGGTCTGCATGTACACGCTCATGGTCTGCATGTACACACTCATGGTCTGCATGTACACACTCATGGTCTGCATGTACACACTCATGGTCTGCATGTACATACTCATGGTCTGCATGTACACACTCATGGTCTGCATGTACACACTCATGGTCTGCATGTACACGCTCATGGTCTGCATGTACACGCTCATGGTCTGCATGTACACACTCATGGTCTGCATGTACACACTCATGGTCTGCATGTACACGCTCATGGTCTGCATGTACACACTCATGGTCTGCATGTACACACTGATGGCCTGCATGTACACACTGATGGTCTGCATGTACACACTCATGGTCTGCATGTACACACTCATGGTCTGCATGTACACACTGATGGTCTGCATGTACACACTCATGGTCTGCATGTACACACTCATGGTCTGCATGTACACACTCATGGTCTGCATGTACACACTCATGGTCTGCATGTACACACTCATGGTCTGCATGTACACGCTCATGGTCTGCATATACACACTCATGGTCTGCATGTACACGCTCATGGTCTGCATGTACACACTCATGGTCTGCATGTACACACTCATGGTCTGCATGTACACACTCATGGTCTGCATGTACACGCTCATGGTCTGCATGTACACACTCATGGTCTGCATGTACACACTCATGGTCTGCATGTACACACTCATGGTCTGCATGTACACGCTCATGGTCTGCATGTACACACTCATGGTCTGCATGTACACACTCATGGTCTGCATGTACACACTGATGGTCTGCATGTACACACTCATGGTCTGCATGTACACAAATCATGGTCTGCATGTACACGCTCATGGTCTGCATGTACACACTCATGGTCTGCATGTACACACTCATGGTCTGCATGTACACGCTCATGGTCTGCATGTACAACTCATGGTCTGCATGTACACGCTCATGGTCTGCATGTACACACTCATGGTCTGCATGTACACACTCATGGTCTGCATGTACACACTCATGGTCTGCATGTACACACTCATGGTCTGCATGTACACACTCATGGTCTGCATGTACACACTCATGGTCTGCATGTACACACTCATGGTCTGCATGTACACACTCATGGTCTGTACTACCAATTTTTAAATCTTTTATTTTTATTATTATATTTATTATAAATTTTATTCGTGATACGAGAGACAAACGAAGGAACAATTACAAAATAATAAACACAAAGTAAAAACTGACCTTCAAATCAAATAATCCTGGCTATATTTTCTCCTCATTGTCTGAAAAGATACGAACTGATCCGGCCCCCAGACAGCCTGTGGGGCGCCCCTGAGGCAGACGGATCTTGGACCGGGATGCTGGGGATGCTGCAGAGACAGGTGGGTGAATACTTGTGCATCCAAATGAGATAGGGGCATCTTCTCTTCCTGGCACCTGTCATATTCATTACTCGTCTCTGTTAATGATCGCTTTACTTTCACCCTGCATGGGAGGTGCCTTTGATGCCGGGGAATTCCTTTTGATCCAAGAAACTGGAGCTACCCATTTTTTTCTAGAACATAAGAATGGAGGAACACTGCAGTAGGCCTACTGACCCAAACTAGGCAAATCTTTCTCTAAACCGAACATTCCCACCCACCCATTTTCCAAACTTTTCCCAAAGCCTCCCAAGAATTTCCTGTGATCAGTGTGACTTAGGAGTATAACACTTCCCCCTGATAATAATATTAATCGTGTTCACCTCTTAAACGCCTACACCAGCACCAGTTATTGTGGATAAAACTTGAGGTTTCACGAGAATCATAGAGCTTTCTTGCGCCGCCAGGAAGTTGAGTTCGCTGTGGGCCCCTTCGTGGTGACTGACCTCCGCGAGACAGTGTGTGACTTCTCTACGTCCTTCCACACCGAGAACGCTGCCATCATCACCATCCGTCCTACTCTCTACAATGATCTCACTGGCTTCGTTAAACCCTACGCTATGGAGGTACCAGAGTGGAAAGGGAAAGAAAACTCATGGAATTTTTGTAATTATTATTATTATTATTATTATTATTATTATTATTATTAGTAGTAGTAGTAGTAGTAGTAGTAGTAGTAGTAGTAATAGTAGTAGTAGTAGTAGTAGTAGTAGTAGTAGTAGTAGTAGTAGTAGTAGTAGTAGTAGTAGTAGTATTGTCATCATCATAATTATTACTGCTATTATTTTAAATATAATGATTATAAAAGTGCAATTAACAGCTGTCGGTGTTGAAAGGTATCCGACATAAAGACAATGAGACAGCAATGGAAACTGAAGCTACATGTATATAGGTATCCTTTGCTGATGAGAATCCCAGTAGAGGGTCGAAACATACAGAAAGGTAACAGGATGTTTATGGACTATTTAGAGGGTTGCTTTATGGGAAAAAATCGAAAAATTATAATAATAATGATGATAACGAGGAACCACGGGCATTCCTCCTCTCCTATACCTGGAGGAGTATATCTTGAGGGTGTTCCGGGGGTCAGCGCCCCCGCATTCCGGTCCATGATCAGGCCTCACGAAATACAGTTAATCATACTGGACTGTTATAGACTGAGAGGGAAAGACTAAGCGCTGAAACTCAATCTTTGTATATACAGATGAGTACTGTTTATATGCATCATCTCTGTAAGCAAAAGTGAGAACAGTTTATATACATCATCACTGTAAACACAAGAGGGAGCTGGACAGATACTTAAAATCGGTGCCGGATCAGCCGAGCTGTGGTTTACAGCCTGGTTGATCAGGCCCTGATCCACCAGTAGGCCTGATCGTGGACTGGGGAGCGGGGGAGTTGATCCCCGGAATACCCTCCAGGTAAACTCCAGGTAAATATCATCTCTGTAAACACGAGTATATTTTATATACATTATCTCTGTAAATACAGGTGAGTACAGTTTATATACATTACCTCTGTAAATACAGGTGAGTACAGTTTATATACAGCACTTCTGTAAACACAGGTGAGTACAGTTTATATGCATCACCTGACCGTCGTATGAGGCAAGCTGACGTTGACTATTATTAACCTTAAATATGTTGCAGGTATGGCTGTTGATGCTCTTGAGTCTAGTGAGTGTGACTGGTGCCGTGACACTGCTGGTATGGGCAGAGGACAAGCTAAACAACTGCAGCACCCGAAACATCTTCGTTAAGGCGGCTATGTGGGCTCTTAAAGTCCTCACACTAGAGAGTGAGCCACACCTGTTTCTTTTACGTAGATTTCGATAGGTCATACAAATTGTATATAATCACCTGTCCAGGTAGTAAATCGTATATTCACCTCCCCCAGGCAATGAATGTAATAGTCACCTACTCGGGTAATAATTGTAATGTTCACCTGCCCTAGTATTAAGGTAACGGATTTTTCTCAGTTCATTAACAAGTAAAAATATATATATATATTATATATATTATTATATATATTATTTATATATATATTATTTATATATATTATATATATTTATTATATATTATTATAATATATATTATATATATTATTATATATATTATATCATATATATATATGTGTGTGTGTGTGTGTGTGTGTGGTGTATTCATTTATTTATTTATTTATTTATTTATTTATTCAAAATATTTGGTGCAAGAAAGACATGTTTGTCTCCTAGTGAACTTCCAGATCCAAGCATCCATATCAGTATGTATTTTTAGAGACGTCCACTGATATCCTCAAACCACGCTAGCTTCATTCCATCCATTCTTTCTACAGGCTCATTGTGGCTGCCCATTACGGACGGGAGTCGCCTCATAGTGATTAGTTGGCTCCTGGCATCCTTGGTGTTCACCACCTCCTACAGCGGGATCCTGACAGCCATGCTGACGGTGCCTCGGGTCACCGTCCCTATAGATTCTCTTGAGGATCTGGTGGCTCAGGAGAAATTGCCCTGGGTCGTTGAGGCTGGTTCTATGATGTATCAATATTTCAAGGTAACTGGAACATAGAAAACTCAACACACAAACCTAAATGAAAAGAATAATTGAAGAAGGGGTTGTATATTTGGACTTCTATCCTCCGAGGTTTTCTTCAGCAGTTAGAGGTTGAAATATACTGGTCCCCCTTCATTTTTGGTTTAATTTGTCTCCAGGTGGGTTTCTTTATTCCCACTAACTAGTGCTCGTTACTTTACTAATAATACTTCCAGGTAATATCCAGAGCATGTGACAAAACAGCTCTCCAACTTACTCTTGTTCTGAAAACTAGATAAGTAACATAAGAGTTCAAGCAAACACATCTACCTCACTGGAGCCGCTAACAAGACTCGACTCAAGAAATCGTAATGACACGATTGCAAATAAACCATACCCCCGGCCGGGATTGAACCCGCGGTCATAGAGTCTCAAAACTCCAGCCCGTCGCGTTAGCCACTAGACCAGCTAGCCACAATAAGATTCATCCAACTAGGTATATTTCTACACCATAGGAAGGTTAGCACAGGCCTGTGCCTGTGCTAACCTTCCTATGGTGTAGAAATATACCTAGTTGGATGAATCTTATTGTGGCTAGCTGGTCTAGTGGCTAACGCGACGGGCTGGAGTTTTGAGACTCTATGACCGCGGGTTCAATCCCGGCCGGGGGTATGGCCGCTAACAAACTTAACTAGAATAAAATTTATGCATACGAGCAACAGACCTATCTAAACTAAAGAATTAACTTTGTGAGGAGTGTCCTGACAGTGAAGCGTTGATTAGGTCTCAAAACAAAGAATTCTACATGGTAGAGCCAAAGAGTAGGAAGCTGTATTTATTTACTCTCCTGATGTTGTTTTCAGGAGTCATTACTCATGTGGTAGAGTGGTGCTTGTTCCCTTTTAGTCATTGATCAGTGAAACAGCAACGCAATGGTTGGTTGCCTGATTAATTGAGTTTAGAGCCTATCTACTGCGCAAAATATCAGTCAGGCTCCCTGCATCCTATTCACCATTAGCCAAGGATACCTGTATCTCCAAAATAGGGATTAAAATAAACTCTCAGAATTTTTAGCACATTTACGCTGTGTATATTACCTAGAAATGGTTGGTTGGTTGATTGGTTAAGGGGATTTAAGACCAATCGACTGCATGAGGGTCATTAAGGCTGCGTGAAACTTAATCACCACCAGTGGATAGACACTGAGAGACAAATACTTTTTGGTGTACATACCATGTGTAATTTTGAATGTACACATACTGTGTTCTCTCTGAAGACGTCATGTGTTGTCACTGATGTCGTCATGTATTGTCACTGATGATGTCATGCGTTATCATTGATGACATGTGTTGCCACTGATGACGTCATGTGTTGTCACTGATGACGTCATGTGTTGTCACTGATGACGTCAGGTCTATCCGCTACAAGATAGTTCCTCCAAAATTATATTTTATATTTATTTCTATTAAATCTCAAGTTTCAGTGCCATTTAATAAATATTATTTACGCCTTTCTTATGCAATTTATGATGAAAATCATGAAGGCGGAACATTAAATAAAAATATGCTTTGTACAAGCCGGTGAGAATTCATTTATGAACGAAAAGCCAATCGTAGCAAGACTGAATTAAAAAATACAAGGTGTTTCAGAAAGATGGACCCAAATTTCAAAGCAATATATCTCACGATGAGGTCCAAATCTTTGAAACACCATGTTTATTGCCATCTAATTAAATTTATATTTCTACGTTGTTCTGAAGGCCGTAAGTTTAGTACCAAACAAGCGGATGGGGACATGTTTTAACTCCGAAAAAACAAAAACTAAAAACAAAACGTGCTAAAACCGTCTTTCCGAAGAACCAAGAAATGATAAGTCCTGGTTTTCTCTTCTCAAACTAGACAACTGTTAAACAGAAGCTGTTATGTTTATTTGCCAAAGCATACACAGGCATACTTACACTGAAACGATATATTGGGTCAGGATCGCACTATATGGTCTTTCTGAAAAGCTGTGAATTTTCGTTCATGCTATCCCAGGTGACAGAAAAATAAGTCATTTACTCTACATCTTCATTGTTGAGTTTCAGGATAGAATTTGCAGGTATCCTGAAGGTTATTTCAGGAACAACAAGGAAATGTATTCATCAGTCAGCGTTAAACCAGAAATTAATTTATGAATCAACAGAGCCTATAAAACAGGTTTTTAAAAAACAAAAAAGCACAATACCATGACTGGAACAATACACAAATAACCCACACATAGGAGAGGGGAGCTGATGACGTTTCGGTCCGACATGGACCATTTACAAGCTCCTCTCTCCTATTTCTGAGTTCTTTGTGTATTGTAAAACAGGTTTCTTCCACGTTACAGAATTTATCGTATCTCTCCGGTTCTTAAAATAAGTTAGGCAGTGTGTTTCACCCTTAAGGGACGGAGGATTAAGCCTCCATCACTCTTTGCATTAAATAACCTACACAGGTTTAGAGCATTTTCACTAGTAATCTCACGTGTCCAAAAGGAAGCTGAAGACGGGGTGCGATTGAAGGTGTTCAAAGGACTGTATGATACCATTTCTGATTGCTGGTCAGCAAGGGCAGACATCGCCAACGGGAAGTTCGCTGCCTTGTGTGACGTAACCTCCATGAAGAAGGCAATGTCGTGGGATTTCAGGTATTATAAATCCTCGCAAGACAGAGTTCTCAATTCATTTTGTGTCTTATCTTTATAATATGGTAACGTAGTTTTAATGCTTTATTTGCTTTCTAAAGAGAGATTTTTGAAGTTGAGAGAAAAAGAAAATGAGTGAATGTCCACGAACTTTTACCTCTGCAATTTTTTTTTTTTTGTAAACTTGCAGCACGAGTGGCAAGTGTCACCTGTACATCTCCAGAGAGAATTTCTTGATCAGCTCTCTCGTCTCGGTGGCCTTCAAGATCAACTCCACTTATCTGACTCCTGCAAACCATCTGTGAGAATCCAACACGTATTCTTCTATCTCTGACCTAAGCTTAACTAAATATTAATAGACATTTAACGATAATTTTTTCAGCGTACACGCACTACTCTAGATTAATATTTGAAGTACTTAGAGAAGTTAATATCAATTAATAGCAATCAGATTATTAAGACATGTATGGCTTGGTATTAAGTATTCTTTGTAAAACTCGATGTCTAAGACATACATCTTAACTGTTTGTTGTAGCATCTCCTTGGTGAAGGAGTCTGGCATCCTGTATAAGTGGCTGGGAGACCAGATCACAAACACCAGCCAGTGTCTTCGTCCACCGACCTCAGACCGCGGGGAGGGCATCGCTCCTCTCAACATCGAAGTCCTGGAAGGTTCCTTCCTCATGCTAGCTGGAGGTAATCACTGGCCTCTAGAGGCCTTGTTTCTGACGGTTCTTCTTCTAGTTTGTTGAAAAAATAATCACCTCTAAGACTGTTACTACTCATCGGAGTATTCCAAATTTAAAATTACAAATAAATCTAATTTCTTAAATCGTCAAAACCCTTACGCGTTATTAATTTCAATGTGTTTTAAGAAGCCTCTGAACGGTGCAGCGCGCGGAATGAAAAAAAATCGAAAAAATTCGAAAATTCAGTTAATCTTACTAAAAAATAGCTGAACTTTCTAGCAACAACCTAGTATAATTATCATCGTTGTATGATGCTCCTATAAGGAATTATAGTCATTTATAATATGTATGGTGACAGCGCCTGGCGTAGCATGCGCGATAACACGGCAGCAATTTTATTTTTAACCACTTTGGGTCGATTTTTTTTCCTCGTCCGATTTCTTTTATTTTTAGGTGTACATGAAGAAGTGTTCATGAAATTTATTCTCTGTAAGTTTGAATAACATAGCCCCAAAAAGGCTGAAAAAAAATGTATATATATATATATATATATATATATATATATATATATATATATATATATATATATATATATATATATATATATATATATTATATTATATATATATGTATATATATATATATATATATATATATATATATATATATATATATATATATATATATATGTGTATATATATATATATATATATATATATATATATATATATATATATATATATATATATATATATATATATATATATATATATATATATATATATAATATACTGAAGATTACGTTTGGCACGAAGATGTAAATTAGTGGCACTACGAAAGGTGGTTTTGGGACTTGGTACTCATAAAACAATCATAATGCAATATTCCTGTGGATGCAGTCACTGTAAATATCTTATCTTTAGTCTACAAAAAAAATAAAGTTGGTAAGTTTTTTACATGTTGCACAATATCTGGCCCTTTACTCCCACACAACCCCCAAAATATTTCGAATAAAATTATTCTGCATTCACCAGAAATTATAACAATCGTTGATTTACGATTTTTGTTAATAAATTATTTCATTTAAATCAATAATAAAGGTTCGTCTTCATCAAATAAGTCAATAACTTACTTCAGAGATAATCGTCTGGAACGCCGGCCTTCCTCCCATCCCGGGATTTTTTTTGTTTTTTTCGAGAAAATTGCGTTTGTTTCAGGGATTACTGGTGATCTAGTGTAGTTATCCTCTCCGAAATACCGTTTTCTCTTACTCAAGACCAAAGAAGATGATATAGAATGGAGGGGAAAGAATTTTATTCCTAATATTCATGGTAGTCACTCGCCTTATTAAGGCCTATTTTATTAATTCTAGAGAATATATCATATTTATATGTCATTTGTAGTGTTTATTATGTCATATTAGATCAATTCTGATAGATAAATAAGCTGCAGAGTTGATATTAAAGCAATAATGAAGAATTTTCTCCCGACTCCTGCCTCCCAAGAGCGGGAATGTAATTCCTTGTAGAAACGTCTTGTGCCATTGTGTTGTCAGAAAGTTAAGCTATTTTTCTATACCAATAACTCAATTTCCATAATTTATTTTTTTCGCTCGCGGCGCCTGTTACCCCTCCCCTACAGCTCTGGCTTCACACACGGAGGGCCCGGATTCGATTCCCGACGGGGTGGAAACATGTCGACGCGTTTCCTTACACCTGCTGTCCTGTTCACCTAGCAGCAAATAGGTACCTGGGTGTTAGTCGATGGTGTGGGTCGCATTCTGAGGGACAAGCTTGAGGACCACACTGGAAATTATAAGGGTGGAGCCCCCAAATCAGACAGACAGTCCTCTATGATTTTCTTGGGTTATCCTAGGCGGCTAACCCTCCGGTGTTAAAAATCCGAACGAAATCTAATCTTATCTTATCTAATCTTATCTTATTCTGGTGGCTAAAGCTCCCGCTTCACACACGGAGGGCCCGGGTTCGATTCCCGGCGGGTGGAAACATTTCGACACGTTTCCTTACACCTGTTGTCCTGTTCACCTAGCAGCAAATAGGTACCTGGGTGTTAGTCGACTGGTGTGGGTCGCATCCTGGGGGACAAGATTAAGGACCCCAATGGAAATAAGTTAGACAGTCCTCGATGACGCACTGACTTTCTTGGGTTATCCTGGGTGGCTAACCCTCCGGGGTTAAAAATCCGAACGAAATCTTATCTTATCTTATAATAATTCACCATTCGAGATCATAGCAGAGTGGGAGAAATAGTCTGAGAGCCAATCAGGAACAGTGTCTGGGAGGAAGTGTTGACAAGGCATAAATTACGTTGTCTCGGCCAAGACACAGCTGCCAATAAAATGTACTATTCTTACGCTAATATCAATAATAAGGCTTATATACCTATCACAATTGATTTATTATGACATAAGGGGACATATTAATAGCATAGAAATATAAAAACTACGCCAGAACAAATAATATCTAGCAAAATGTGAAGTCTGATGGGAAAGGGACTTTATAGACGAACCCACCGCAAGGCTTATACTTGTTCTCTCGTCATTATTATGAGAGAAAACGGACCTAGACGAGGGTTAACTGTAATAGACATTCGTAGGTTACGAGAAAAGTGAAAAGAAAGCGAAATTTTCGAAGGAAAAAATATTTCCCCGAGTACCTGGGCATGGGCGCGTATCGGCCATTATCAGATAAGTAAGTTATTTACCTATTTTAGGGGAATCCATCATTATTAATGAACGAATTGAAGCGATTTCCACAACAAACATAAAAGAATGGTTGCTTTACAAGATTACGTGTACCTTTCCGGAGTATCCCAAATATTTTCAGATTTCTGTGGGGTCAAAAGGACGATATTTTTCTAAATGTCAAACAACTTATAAACCGTATTTTTTTTTTTTTTTTTTTTTTTTAGAATGAAGAAAAGGTTTATCACAGAATTGGTACTCGTACGATGATGGACGATGGAATGCCTTTTTCATTTGCTTTTTGGCCGATCGTATTGATACTTCATCAAAACATGGTCGACAAGCTTCTAACAGTACACCAAAAATGAACGTAATCGCTCGACAAATAAAAAAGTCGAAAAATTTTCATGCAGATAGGGCCTGATCTTAATTAATATTTTAACACAAACAATTTCATTTAACTCAAGTTTCATAACTTATATATTCAATATACTGGTTGCAAAAAGGAGCATATAGAAAACGATGAGACGATTATAGGATATATTTATAGAATGTTTGTACATCGACACCATGCCTAACCCTTCTAGGGTAGGGTAGGTGCCTGAGCCCGAGCCTTTAGCTCATAAGACTGTCATTCCCATTTGCCCCCTTGGGGCGGGGATGGCAGACCAGAGAGGCCTAGCTTGTGGCTAGGCCTGGGGACAGATGGTCCCAAAGATGAGGAGGTACTTGTGCCTCCTCCCATGGGAGACTTAGGTCTCAGACACTCCCTAAAGAGGGAGCCAAGGCCGGGCCACCACTTGGAAAAGGCCCGGGCAGGGAGAATACCGGCTAATATTTAATAATAATAATAATAATAATAATGTTTGTAATACACCGAGCTTGGTGCTATAAATAAAAATCACCATTAGACTAATATATATTGTCTCGCCTTGCAGGACTGACTGTGAGTCTCGTAGTCTTCCTTGGAGAGGTCGCTGTGTGGTATTTATGTTGCGGTGACCATAAGTACTCAAAGAATACCGAGGTTTGTCTCGCATTTCCCAAATACCCCAATTCTTCACACACACAAACACACACACACCACACACACACACACACACACACACACACACACACACAACACACACACACACACACACACAACACACACACACACACACACACACACACACACAGATACACACACGTGGTCCAGCAACTGGTTCCTAGAATTTAACCCCGCCAAATGCAAAGTCATGAAGATCGGAGAAGGGCAAAGAAGACTGCAGACAGAGTATAGGCTAGGAGGCCAAAAACTTCAAACCTCACTAAAGGAGAAAGATCTAGAAATGAGTATAATACCGAGTGCATCCCCAGAAGCACACATTAACCAGATAACTGCTGCGGCATATGGGCACTTGGCAAACCTGAGAATAGCATTCCGGGACCTCAGTAAAGAATCGTTCAAGACATTATACACTGTACGTTAGGCCCTTACTGGAGTACGCAGCACCAGTTTGGAACCCACACCTGGTCAAACACGTCAAGAAATTAGAGAGAGTATGTCCTAGGAAATCGGACTGACGACATTGGAGGACAGGCGGGTCAGGGGAAACATGATAACGACATACAAAATACTGCATGGAATAGATTAGGTAGACAGAGACAGGTTGTTCCAGAGAGGGTACACAGAAACAAGGGGTCACAATTGGAAGCTGAAGACTCAGACGAGTCATAGGGAAGTTAGGAAGTATTTCTACAGTTATAAAGTTGTCAGGAAGTAGAATAGCCTAACAAGTGATGTAGTGGAGGCAGAAACCATACATAGCTTTAAGACGAGATATGATAAAGCTCATGGAGCAGGGAGAGAGAAGACTTAGTAGTGTTCAGTGAAGAAGCAGGGCCAGGAGCCGAGTCTCGACCCCTGCAACTACAATTAGGTGAGTACAATTAGGTGAGTACACACACACACACACACATACACACACACACACACACACACACACACACACACACACACACACACACACACACACACACACACACACACACACACACCACACACACACACACATACACACACATCAGAGATCTGGTGTACCAACCAGGGAGGAAAGATTGGGAGTCAGATCTCCAAAAAAGGGAGGAAAAGTGGGGGAAGGAAGATAGAAGAGCTTGGCAAGATAATAGAGGAGAGGATAGCTGAAGAGTGCAGGAAGTGGGAGCTACAAGTCTTACCAGCAGAAGCTAGGATACAGTGCTTAGAAGAGAAACTAAAAAACCTAAAACAGATTAGAGAGACAAATGATAATTTAGATGTGACATCAGGAAATTCTATGTCAAGCACAGACAAGGGGATGATAAGAAACAAAGGAGATGTGCCATACGTGAAGGCCCTATCAGACCCACGTGGGGCCAGGGAAAAGATAAGGTGCACTCTAAGATCAAATGACAGGTCTGAAGACAATGAAGGTATGTTATATGCAGAGACTCTAACAGCCAACTGCAGTAGCAAGGAACAGCTGATCATGAAAGACTGAGCATAGAAGTTTCAGCAATGACAGGGATTGAAGGCAAGAACATTTGAATGGAAGGAACTAAAACACCTCAGAGGATGTAAGTGGAGACTCAGTGGGAGGAGGAAAGGGAGAGGTCAGTTTTTGTCTATGGGCTCCAAGAAGCCAAAGGGGACAGCTTCGAAGAAGTAAAGCAGGAGGAGGAAAACATGATTGAAGGCATCATGAAAACAATAGGTGAGGGCAATATGACCCAGGTGACAAATTTTCGGAGAATTGGGTGGTTTGCGATTGGAAGGAAATGGCCTGTCAAAGTAATTTTCAAGGAAGAATCAGCTCGAACCAGGATCCTGCAAGAGAAAGCATGACTGAGGGACAAACCGGGGTACCAGAGAGTATACCTCAATCGCGACAGAACACAAGAACAAAGGACTACACTGAAAGAGAGGGTACAGAGACGCAAGGAGGAACGAGAGGCAATGATGAAGATGAGCAGGACCCAGACACAGGAAGAAGGGTAAACACCCTGCAGAAACTCCCGCAGAAGGACTCCAACCACGACAATCCCAACACAACTGAGCAATCTAAACCAGAACCCACACACTGTTCCCTCTGCCACCAACCCCCACATCACAAACCTCACCCCAGCAGCTGCCCCCTATGGGCATTCTGACCAAACCCCCCTCATCACAAACCCCACCCGCCCCACAGCCCCCCATAGGCCCCCACCAAGACTCTCACTCCCCAAACCTTAATATTCTCCCAGGACCACAGTGATAGAAAAGAAGCTGAAGGTTTGATACACAAACACGGACGAAATAATGAATAAATATGAGGAGTGGAACGAAAGAATCAGCGAGAAATCCCCAGACATCATAGCAATCACAGAAACGAAACTCGCTGAGACAGTAACAGATGCAATCTTCCCACTGGGACATCAGATCCTGAGGAAAGATAGAAGGAGTAGAGGGGGAGGAGGGGTTGCACTGCTCATAAAAAACTGATGGGGATTTGTGGAAATGGAAGGCATGGACATGATTGGAGAAAGGGACTACATAGTAGGTACAATTCAGTCTGGAGAACATAAAGTAATCATTGGAGTGATGTATAACCCGCCACAGAACTGCAGGAGGCCAAGAGAGGAGTACAAAGGAAACAACAGAGCGATGGTGGACACACTGGCTGAGGTGGCAAGAAGAGGTCACTTGAGCAGAGCAAAGTTACTGGTAATGGGCGATTTCAACCACAGGGAGATCGACTGGGAACACCTGGAGCCACATGGGGGGTCCCGAAACATGGAGAGCCAAGATGATGGATGTGGTACTTGAAAACCTCATGCATCAACATGTCAGGGACACTACCAGGGAGAGAGGGGAGGATGAGCCAGCAAGAATGGATCTTATGTTCACCCTGAGCAGTTCAGACATTGAGGACATCACTTACGAGAGGCCCATTGGAGCTAACGATCACGTAGTTCTGAGTTTTGATTATATAGTAGAGTTACAAGTGGAGAAGGTAACAGAAATTGAATGGAAAAAGCCAAACTATAAAAGGGGGACTACACAGGTATGAGGAACTTCCTGCAGGAGGTTCAGTGGGACAGAGAACTGGTAGGAAAATCAGTAAACGAAATGATGGAATATGTAACAACAAAGTGCAAGGAGGCAGAGGAAAAGTTTGTTCCCAAGGGAAATAGAAATAATAGGAAGACCAAAGCGAATCCTTGGTTTACCCAAAGGTGTAGGGAGGCAAAAACTAAGTGCATCAGAGAATGGAAAAGGTACAGGAGGCAAAGTACCCAGGAAAATAAGGACATTAGTAGAAGAGCCAGAAACGAGTATGCACAGATAAGGAGGGAGGCCCAGCAACAGTACAAAAACGGCATAGCATCGAAAGTCAAGTCTGATCCAAAACTGCTGTATAGCCACATTAGGAGGAAGACAACAGTCAAAAACCAGGTGATAAGGCTGAGGAAAGAAGGTGGGCAACTCACAACAAATGATCAAGAAGTATATGAGGGGCTCAGTATGAGATTTTAAGAAGTATTTACAGTGGAGACAGGAAGTCCTCTCAGGGGACAGAACAGAGGGGGACACCAGCAAGGAATATACCAACAAGTGTTGGATGACATACATACAAATGAGGAGGAGGTGAAAAAGCTGCTAAGGGACATCGATACCTCGAAGGCAATGGGACCGGACAACATCTCCTTGTGGGTCCATAGAGAGGGAGCGGATATGCTGTGTGTGCCACTTACCACAATCTTCAACACATCCCTGGAAGCTGGGCAACTACCTGAGGTATGGAAGATGGCAAATGTAGTTCCCATTTTGAAAAAAAGGAGACAGAAAAGAGACACTAAACTATAGACCTGTGTCACTGACGTGTATAGTATGCAAAGTTATGGAGAAGATTATCAGGAGGAGAGTGGTGGAGCACCTGGAACGGAACAAGAGCATAAACGCAAACGAGCATGGATTCATGGAAGGCAAATCCTGTGTCACAAAGCTTCTGGAGTTTTATGATAAAGTAACAGAAGTAAGACACGAGAGAGAGGGGTGGGTTGATTGCATCTTCTTGGGCTGCAAGAAGGCCTTTGACACAGTTCCTCACAAGAGATTAGCACAGAAGCTAGAGGATCAGGCGCATATAACAGGAAGGGCACTCCAATGGATCAGAGAATACCTGACAGGGAGGCAACAACGAGTCATGGTACGTGATGAGGTATCACAGTGGGCACCTTTGACGAGCGGGGTCCCACAGGGGTCGGCCCTAGGACCAGTGGGGTCCCACAGGGGTCGGCCCTAGGACCAGTGTTATTTTTGGTATATGTGAACGACGTGATGGAAGGGTTAGACTCAGAAGTGTCCCTGTTTGCAGACGATGTGAAGTTAATGAAGAGAATTAAATCAGATGAGGATCAGGCAGGACTACAGAGACCTGGACAGACTGGACACCTGGTCCAGCAACTGGCTTCTCGAATTTAACCCCGCCAAATGCAAAGTCATGAAGATAGGGGAAGGGTACAGAAGACCGCAGACGGAGTATAGGCTAGGTGGCCAAAGACTACAAACCTCGCTCAAGGAGAAAGATCTTGGGGCGAGTATAACACTGAGCATGTCTCCGGAAGCACACATCAACCAGATAACTGCTGC